TGGTCGCCTCCGAAGCGGTCCTCGTCGTCGCGGCGCTGGCCGTGGCTCTGCTGCCCGTAGCTCTCCTGGCGTCCGAAGCGGTCGCCGTCGTCGTCCTGGCGGCGCTGCTCGCCGTAGCCGCCGTACTGCTGCTGCTGACGACCCGAGCCGTAGCTGTTGTCTTCGTCGTCCTGTCGGCGCGAGTCACCGTACTGGTGCTGCTGCTGGCGACGCTCATCGTCGTCTTCGTCGTTGCGACGTCCTCCGCCTCCGTACTGCTGGCTGTGCGACTGGCCAAACGACTGCTGACCGCCGCCGCCAAACTGCTGCTGCTGCTGCTGGTAGCGGCGTCCGCCGTCGTTGTCTTCGTCGTCATTGCGTCGGCCGCCCTGACCGTACTGCTGCTGCTGCTGGCCGTACTGCTGGCCACTGCCGCCGTGCTGCTGCTGGCCGTACTGCTGGCCACTGCCACCGTGCTGCTGTCCCTTCCGCTTGTCGTCGCTGCCGTCGAGCTTGAGCGTGCCGAGGACGCCGGCGACGACGTCGGCGCCGGGCGCATCGGCGAGGACGCCGCCGGGCTTGACGAGGCCGGCGAGCCCCTCGCTGGCGGCGGCGTACTTGTTGGCGTTGGCGTCGGCGGCCGGGATGGTGGAGCCGCCCGACAGGCCGTCGGTGATGTTGCGGTGCTCGAGGACGGCGTTCTTTTCGAGGCGGCGCAGCACCTCGTCCTTTTCGCCGCCGTGCGAGTTGATCCAGGTGTCGACGAAGCGCAGCATGTCCTCCTGGACCGGGTTGGGGCGCTCGACAAAGTCTGGGTGGTGGAGGGCGGTGACGATGCGGTCGGCGACCTGGCGCGGGTCGATGCCGTCGTCGTCCCACGCCTCGACGACCTGCTGCACCGAGTGGCGCACGATGATCTGGGCGAGGCGGCCGGCGGGCGCGTTGAGCAGGTTGGAGAAGTGGTCCTTGGCCAGCATGCTGTGGGTGGGGTCGCTGGCGTTTTCGTCGTTAAAGACGATGGTCTGGTCGTGGCAGTCGACGACGGCGGCGCTGGCCTCGAAGAGCGTCTCGGTGACGGTGCGGAAGATGGGCGACATGACGGGCTCGAGGGTGGAAAAGACAAAGACGGCGAGGTTGTTGCTGACCTCGCCCAGCAGCTCGTCGAGTCCGGGGATGCGGTCGATGATGCCGGAAATGGTGCGGGCGATGTCGTCGTGGATGCCGAGGACGTCCATGATGAACTGGTGCACCTCGTCCTCGCCAATGTCGGTGGGGTTCATCTCCTGGGCACGGCGTCGCAGCTCCTCGAGGCGGTCGACCTGGCCGTCGGGGTTCTTGCGCGTGTCGCTGCCGCCGTCGCCGCCGTCGCCGTCGCGGTCGGCCTTGTCGTCCTTGCTGAGGAGCAGCTTGAGCACGGTGCGCAGCGCGCCGCCGTCCTTGCCCTTGTTGTCGTCAAACTTGGCCGTGACATCCTGGGCGCTGTTCTGCGACAGCTTGTCTTCTGCGGTGCCGAGCATCGAGTGCATAAAGTCGGCGCCGCCGAAGCTGCCGGTGACGATGGGCGCCACCTCGCGGCCCGAGGGGGCGCGGACGCGGACGCGGTCGCCGACGTGGGCAAAGACGCGGTCGTAGCCGAGCTTCTGGAGGGCGACCTCGATGAAGTTGCTGTGGGCGGCGAAATCCTCGAGGGTGTGGAGCGCCGTGCCGAGGAGGCGGAGCGACTCCCACTCGTCGCGCTCGTTGTTGCGCCTGCCGCTGCGGCCAAGCTCGATGGCGCGGATAATGTTGTCCTTGATGAAGCGGGCGCTGGTGTCAAAGTCGCGCCCCTCGGTGGCAATGTACTGCTTCATGCCGTTGCGCTCGTCGATGTCGAGCTCGCGCGGGTTGAGCGGGCCGCGGAGGCCCGGGTAGTTTGCCACCTGGCGCGGGTCGCTGCCCTGGTCGTCGGGGTAGCCCGTGGGGTTGTCGATGTGCTCGACGGTGAGGTAGTTGCCGAGCCTCTCGGGCGTGACCTCGAACTCGCGGGTGGCGTAGCCGAACTCGAGGAAGCCGAGGACGGCGACGACGTTGACGATGCGCTGTGCGGGAAGGAGCTTGAGCGAGGCGACGTCGACGGCCTGGCTTAGATCGCGGAGCCAGTTGCCAAAGTAGACTCTCGAGACGTCGTCCTTGGAGAACTTTTTGCCGGCCTTTTTGCCGCCGCTGAAGATGGCGCCCATGATGCCGGCTGCGCCTGCGCCGGCGGCCGTCTTTACGAGCTCGGTGAGGATGCCCTCGACGTCGCCGTGAAGGAAGACGCGGTTGTGGACGCCCGAAGCCTCCGAGACCAGGCCCGAGCCGAACGCGGCGGCGGGCGAGGCGGCGAACAGAACGACGGCGAGGACGAGAATGGGGAGGAGCGTGTAGGACGACATGGTGGGCGGGGGGGCTGAGCGTGGGTGGCAGGGGATAGCGGTGCCGGCGCCAAGAGAGGGGCGGTGCGAGGGGGGGGCAGCGCAAGAGAGCGGGGGCGATGCCAAGAGAGGTTCAGCGCGGCCTAGAAGGCGTCGAGTTGGTCTGGATGCTGTGTCGTGAGGGCGGGCGTGTCTGCGCGGTTGTCGTGTCGAAATCGCCGAGAGAAGGCGTGAAGCGAGGGATTCGACGATGTACGCTTTGTTGGTGGTGGTGAGGAGGAAGAAGACGACGAGGAAGCAGGAAGAAGAAGGAGGATGACGAGGGCAGGCGGGGCCACGCCTTGAGACTGGGTTGTGCTGTGCGTGCGAGGCGGGCTGCGGGTGCGTGCCAAGCTCAGAGAGAGAGAGAGAGGTCCACAGCGGCGAGGGGCGAGGCAGGGACGAGGGGCGAGAGGCATCAAGCAGTCGGGCAGCAGGGCAGCAGGGCAGCAGGGCAGCAGGGCGTCGAGTGCGGCGGCCCCCCCCCCCTGAAATAGAACGGCGAGGCGGTGTCGTGCGGTGCGCTAGAAGAAGCAAGCGACAAGAGGCAGGGCAGGCAGACAGACAGGCGCGCACGGTCCAAGCTGTGCGTCATGGCCCTGCCTCGTGCCCACGCAAAAGCTTTCCTGCTTTCACGCCGGACGCCTCGTTGCAGCGAGCGAGCGAAGGAGCGGGTCTGCGAGGGCGCCTTTGCTTGGCTTGGCATCCCTGCCCTGCCCTGGTTTCGGTCCCCGTTGCTGTCAATTGCTCGGCCGCTCGAGCATGCTGTGGCATCTCGACGCATCGAGGGATGTACAGCGAGCGAGGCGGCGAGGACAGCGGGAAGAACACTGAGACAAGGCCTACCCTCGAGTCCAACATTGATTGCGCTTCGCTGTCGAGCAAGGGCTATGTAGCCTGTGCCAAGCGCCGAGGCTGGGCGACGATGTGACGGGTGCCAAAAAGTCGACGGAAAATTCAAATGAAATTCCACGCCGGTCTGGTCTATCTGTTCAGTCAGCTCGGGCTCGGAAGAAGAGGAAAGGGGGGTGGAGGCGTTCGGGACCGCGCCGTCAGCCGGGAGGGTGAGCGTAATATTAATCGCCTTCGACCCTGCCGACTTCGTTTGGCTGTCCCTCGACACCACCTCCAGCATCACCACCACCCTTCATCGCAAGCACCCACACACATACACCCGCACGCACGCACGCACGCAACATGAGGCCGACGCTGCAGACCCTCAAGAAGCGGGACATGCAGCCCATCCAGACCTTTGCAAAGGCCGCTGCCCAGTGCGCTGCCCCCGTGCGTGACCCACCCCCCTCCGCCCACACTGGCACCGCCGATTCCGACTGACCCCACACCTTCCCTTTCTTTATTCGCCCCACCCCGCCTTCCCCCGTCGACAACAGGCAAAGGTGTACGGCGCCTGCGTGGCTGCCAACTACGAAAACGTCGAGCGAAACATGTGCCACGCCGAGTTTGCCGCCTTCAAGGCCTGCGTCCAGGAAAAGGTGCGTGCGCCCGAGTCCGACTCGTCTGCCTCGTCCTCCTGGCCTCTCTGGCGGTTTTGCACGCCTCTCCTGCTCATCGGCTGGATTGTTGCTCTTCCCTGCCTGCCTCTCCACCTCACATCCGCTGACTGGCTCGATTGTTGCTCTCCCCTGCCCCTGTACTGGCCTGCCTGCTAACGCCTTCTCGCCCGCGCAGCTCGGACGAAAGTGGTAGACGGGCAAGACGTGGACGTCAGTGGTGGACGGGCAAGACGTCGGCGACAGTTGGTGGATGGGCAAGACTTCGACGACAGTTGGTAGATGGACAGGACGTGCGGCTTGAAAGCGTACAGCGGGGCCCTCGTAAGGCTCTACGCCGCGCCACAGGACCCACGCCACGACTACGGCTACGACACCCCCTTGGCAGCCGACGCGCCCTCGACCGCCACGTCCTTGCGCGCCACGACGACGGCGCAGCGCACCAAGCCCTCGTCGCCGCCGCGCGCCCACGACGCCACGACGCCGCCAAAGCTCCGCAGCGCAAACAGCGTGCCCGCCCCGCCGCCCCGCCAAGCGCGCTCCTCGCCCCGCCCCCAGCCCTCGCAGGAACCGCGAAAAGCCCGGAAAGACGTGCTCGGACACGTCCCGGATCGAAATCGTCGACGCTCGAAAGCCCGCTCGCTCCAGTTTCGCGGCGTACCCGTCCGCCGACCACAGCGCCGACGGCGAAACGCCCAGCAGCTTGCACGTCGCCGCGTGCCGCAGCCGCGCCAAGAGGGTCGGAGCACGCGACGGCTGCCGCAGCGTCTCGCTCGGAACGTGGCTCCACGCTCGCTCGCCCTGCCCCGCCGCACGGGGGGCCACGCCGAGAGCAGGTCCACCAGCCCGAGCGTGCCGCCAGGCGCCAGCCGACGGTACGCCAGCTGTAGAAAGTCCGAGCGGCTCTGGAAGTGGTAGGCGCAGTCGAGCGCCAGGATGAAATCGTACTTTTGCTCCCCGTCCCCGTCCCCGTCCCCGTCCCTGTACGACTCGCCGGCCGAGCCGGACGTCTCGACCAGCCACTCGGCAATGTCGCCGCACCACACCCGGTGCTGCCGCTGCTGCCGCTGCTGCTGCTGCTGCTGCTGCTGCTGCTGTGATGACGACGACGACGACGACGACGACCGCTTGTCCGCCTCGGCTCCAGCGGCCGCGTCCAGCCGTTGTGCCGTCCTGGCTGCGTCGCGCTCGAGGAACGTGACGGCGTGCAACGTCTTCGGCCCGTAGCGCTCCCGCAGCAGCAGCACCGAGTCGCCCGTCCCACAGCCTACGTCGAGGATCCGGCTGCCGCTCGCGACGCCCGCGGCGCTGTAGAGCACCTCGGCCAGCTGCCGAGCGGCCGTGGAAAAGTCGGCCGTGTCGCGCCAGAAGCCCATGTTCATCCACTCGGCCTCCGGCCGGCGCGTGTTGAGCGCAAGCGCAGACAGGTTCGAGTACGCGTCGCGGTCGGTGCCGCCGCGGCGCAGCAGGAGCAGCGCGACGAGGGCCAGCGTGACCATCGTCGAGAGGAGCACGGGGCTGTGGCCGTACCACGCCCTTTGCAGCTCGGCGACGAGGTCCTCGGCCACTTGGCTGGCCAGCCGCCGGATGGGGTCTGCGTAGGCCGGCGGCGAGATGGCCGCAGCCAGCAGGGAAGCCCTGTCCGTGGCCCGGTCGTAGGCGACCCTGCCGTCGATCAGCGTCGCCTCGACCTGGGCACCACGCAGCGCCGCCGGCGAGACGGTCTGCTCGTTGAGGATGTCGCGGTCGAGGATGGTAAAGTCGGCCCGCTTCCCGACGCGGATGCTGCCGGCGCGGTCCTCCTCGAACTGGGCGTAGGCCGTGTCGAGCGTGAATCCGCGGAGCGCCTGCCGCCTGCTGAGCCTCTCGCCCGGGTACCAGCCTCTGCGGCCGTGCGGCGAGTTGCCCTGCGGGTCGAGGCGCGTGACGGCCGAGTAGATGCCGTGCAAGGGGTCGGGCAGCTCGACGGGGAAGTCGGAGCCCAAGGCCAGCGACGCGTTGGCGTCGAGCAGCGTCCTCCAGGCGTAGGCGCCGCGGGCGCGCTCGGCGCCGATGCGCGACTCGACGTAGCCCATGTCCGAGGTGCAGTGGGTGGGCTGCATGGACGCGATGACGCCCAGCCTGCCGAAGCGCGCCGTGTCCGACAGGCGCATGATCTGGGCGTGTTCGACGCGCGGGCGCGGGTCGGCCGAGGCGAGCGCGCCGGAGGATGCGAGGATCGACTGGTAGGCGTCGAGCACCAGCGTGTTGGCCTTGTCGCCGATGGCGTGGGTGCCGACCTGCCAGCCGCGCTCCATCCAGTAGCGGATCAGCGGTTCGACTTCTTGCTCGCGGATGAGGAGCAGGCCGCGCTCGCCCGGGTTGTCCGAGTAGTCCTGCCACATGGCCGAACCCCACGAGCCGAGGGCGCCGTCGGCAAAGAGCTTGACGGCCCGCAGCGTGAAGCGCGACGTGGGCGTGGCCGGCAGCACCTGCTGCACGCGGTGGGCGCACCGTCGCTCGTCGGGAGGGCAGGCGAGGAACGAGTAGATCCGCAGCGGCATGGAACCCTGCTCGTCCATCCTGCAGGACGAAACGAAGAGCGAGGCGGACAAGAGGAACGCATCGTGTCAGCAAGGTGCAATGCGTCGGGGCGAGGAAGCGTAGCATCGTGTCAGCAAGGTGCAATGCGTCGGGGCGAGGGAGCATCTCGTGCGCCGTCGCCGCGCGCGGGCGGGCACGCACTTTTTGTAAAAGTCGACGGCGTCGAGGTCGGTGGCGGCGTCGCCGACGGCCGTGATGCCGGCGCGGAGGAGGCCGTCTGCGGCGGCGTCGAGGTAGCGCTTGCGCTGCTCGAAGGTCCACTTTGGGATGACCTGGTAGGCGAGGTTCATGGCGTTGTCGATGAGGACGCCCGTGGGCCTGCCTGCGGCGTCGCGGACCACGAGGCCGCCCTCGATCCTGTGGTCGTCGGCGGGCGAGCGCGGGAAGCCCTTGGCCTGGTTCTCGACGAGGTCGAGGGCGACCTGCGAGAGCCAGATGGCGTGTACGTCGATGCGGCGGAGCGAGATGGCAAACTTGCGCAGCAGCGGGGAGCTCGAGAGGTCGGCGGCGGTGGGGAAGACGGGGTCGGGCCACTTTGTCTGGTCCCAGCCGAGGCCCTCGATCCAGCGCACGTCGGCGTCGGCGTCGCCCGGGCGATGGTCGCTGGTGGGGCTGAGGGCGTAGGCGAGGAGCTCGGGCGATTTGCGAACAAAGTCCTCGATGCGCTGTACGACCTGATGCTTTGAGGTGGAGCCGACGAGGTCGACGACGGTGCGGGACCAGCCATAGTCGAGGACGTGTCCGTGGGCGTCCTGGAAGCCCGGGTAGAGGGTCTGGCCGTGCCTGAGCCTGCGCACGTCGCAGTTGTTGGCGGCGGTGTGGGCTGATGGTGCGGAGAGGAGGTTGCGTCGCTGGCGCTGGAGGCGTGCCGACTTGTTGGAGCGCGGGAGACGCTTGCGGGCAGCAGGGGTGGCGGGGTCGAGGCCGCAGGCGGCGTGGAGGACGTGGTGCTCTGAGCCGAGAGCGACGATCGAGTGGTTGGCGACGGCGAGGCAGGAGACGTAGGCGTCGTGAGGGTCGTCGTTGTTGCCTCCGTCGTCGTCGTCGTCGCCGCCGCCGGTGCCGTCGTGGTGGTGACCGGTGTAGATGCTGCGGCGAGGCGGGTGGCTATGGGTGGAGCGGGAGAGGAGGCCGGGGCGGTTGGCTGGCGAACAGATGACGTATTCTGCGGGCAGGTCGTGCCATTGCGAGCGCGGCTGGCTGGAGAGGGAGGTGTTGAGTGGGGAGGTGATGCTGCGGCGTGTTGCGCCGACGAGGGCGAGGATGAGGGCGAGGTAGAGGAGCCACCTGTAGCTGGTGTGGCTGGTGGCCCTGGCTCGGTGTGCGGCGGTGGTGGAGTAGGAGGGTGGTGGATGCGGTGGCGATGGCGGTGGTGGTGGTGGTGGTGGTGGTGGTGGGTGGTGGTGAGATGGGTGCGGCATGGTGGGCCAAGCGCGCGCTGGCCAAGGTGGGGATGGATGGATGGTGTCGGGAGGCGATGCAAGGTGGCAGGCAGGCGGGAGCGAGGAGCGATGAGGGAGGAGGCGAGGTGGCAGCGCGAGCAAAGAAGGAATGATGTTCGGACGACAGTGGACCGTAGGGCGTGGCTCGCGTGGGCGAGAGAGTTGGCTGTCAAGACGAGGCCTGGCAGGTAGGTGCATGTGGAGGAGGTCGAGGCGCGCCGTTGTGGCTTTTTGGGTTTGCCCCGCCGGCGTGGCTCTGTCGAGAGATGAGGTCTTGCACGCTCGCTGCTGGGGGTCGCAGCCAACACGTCCGCACCCAAAGACGGTGGTGACGGTGAGCAGCCAAGGCCGTCGTGTGTGGGCAGGGCAGGGCAGGGCAGGGCAGGGCAGCAGGAGCGCAGGCCAGACGGCGCGTCGCCGGTGGGGCGCAGGAGGGCGATGGTGACGCACGGTGACCGTTGGACGTGGGTGGCCAGCAGCAAGCCCAAGCAAGCCGTCGCCCACCGAAGAGAAAGAAAGAGGTGTTGGTCTTGGCCAGCCGCTGCCTCTTGGCTGGTTTCTTGGGCTGCCCCCACGGCCTGCTGCTGCCCACTCTGCGTCTGCTCGATGTGGATCTCGAGTAGGCTCCCGGCTGTGGGCCTGCCTGCCTGCCTGCCTGCTTGCCTGCTTGCCTGCTTGCCCGCTTGATTAATCGCGAGGGCGAGCTTTGAATTTGGGCCCAACGCCCAACGCCCCTCACCCAAACGCCAACCAATTTGCAAATTCAAGCTGGCCCCTGTTTGCATTCAACACTTGGGCGCAGCGCGGCCACCGCCCAGGCCAGCCCTGCCTAGGCCAGCCCAGCCAGCCAAGGGGCCAGCGCCAGGGTCGAGGCGACTGCGGCCGCTCATCGTCCATCGTCCATCGTCCATCGTCCATCGTCCATCGTCCATCGTCCATCGTCCATCGTCCATCGTCCATCGTCCATCTGGCCGCCATCGACGTCCATCATCGCCGCACCACTATCGCCACTTCCATCACCATCGACACCGCCACCGACACCGCCTCCCCAGCTCGCCGTCCCACTGCAACTGCAACTGCTCTCCACCGCAGCACTCGATCACACTCTAACGGCTCCCTTCGCCTTGCTCCGTCTTCGCCGCACCCTCATCCCGGCCTACACTCGTCGCCCTTCCTGGGCCTCACCATCTCCCAAGAGCGCCGCCTGTAGCTCTCGCCCGCACTCTGGTCCCGCCTGCCCCCTTGCCAGCCACGCCCATCGATCCAGTCTGCTTACCTCGACGCTCCCCTGCTCGCATCTCACAACGCAATGGCGCCCGCACCAGTGAGTCGACTGCCGTGCTCCGCCCCGGGGCGAGCCACGCGCAAGACCCACCCCAAGACCTCCTCTCCATCGCCCTCCGCCTTCCAGCCCTCCCGACTCACCTCGCGCTTCGCCCTCCTCACACCCCAGATCCGACGTAAGCTCGTCATCGTGGGCGACGGCGCCTGCGGCAAGACCAGTCTCCTCTGCGTCTTTGCCATTGGCGAGTTCCCTCAGGAATACGTAGGTGTCGCCAGCCAGTCAGCCAGCCCTCTCGACTGCTCGACGTCAGCAGCATCCCTGACGCTTCCTGCCCTCCCCCTTTGCCGCTGTCTCGCTCGATTCATCTGCCAAACAGGAACCAAGTGAGCATGCCGCAGCACATCCCACCCATCAACCGCCAACTCACCTCAAACCTCCTCTCACATGCCCCACCCCACGCCCGCAGCCATCTTTGAAAACTATGTCGCAGAAATCAGGCTCGACGGCAAGCCCGTACAGCTCGCGCTCTGGGACACGGCGTGAGTGGGCCCGACCCTGGCGCGGCGCGGCTGTGGCTCGCTGCAGTGTGCCACAATGAGGCGACAGAGCAATGGCTGATGACCGTCACCTGCTGCGCTTCCCCCTACCGCCCTCCTACTTGCTCTGCTCGTCTCCACCACCGACAGCGGCCAGGAAGAGTACGAGGTGAGCCGCCGCGGAGTGAGGATGCAACACGTCGAAGCCAGAGGCACGGCGCTCACCTCTTCCTCCCTCGCCACTCCTCTTCCTTGTCCCCCCCCCTCCTCCCCTGCAGCGCCTGCGACCGCTCTCCTACTCGCAGGCCCACGTCATCCTGATTGCCTTTTCCATCGACACGCCAGACTCGCTCGAAAACGTCACCGTAAAGGTGGGTTGCCCCTCGTCCGTCCCGACGGTCCGCCCCCGCCCCGTTTCGCGGCCGCTGCGCGAGGGACCGCTCGCTGACCTCGCTCCGAGCGCACTGCCCGGACGTCACTTGCCCTCCCCCTTCCACGTTGCCCCTTTGCCCCCTTGGACAGTGGATGGAAGAGGTGCGGCAAATATGCGGGCCCTCGGTGCCGGTCCTGCTCGTCGGCTGCAAGCGCGACCTGCGCGAGGACGCCGTCGCCAAGGGCAAAGCCGTGGCGGGCCAGTTTGTGGAAAAGGCGCAGGGCAAGGACGTGGCGGCCCAGATTGGCGCGCGGTCATACCACGAGTGCTCGGCGCTCAAAAACGAGGGCGTCGACAACGTCTTCGAGGCCGCCACCCGCGCCGCCATGCTCGTCCGCGCCGCCGGCGCCGGAGGCGGCGCCGCCAACGGCAAGCTCAAGGAAAAGGGCGGCAGCCGCGAGAACGACGCGGGCGGATGCAAGTGCGTCGTCCTCTGAGGGCGGATCGGATGGCGTCGAGCGGCGCGATGTCGCTCGCCTGCCGGTCGGTGGGCGGAATGGCAGCCTAGGTTGCTCTGCTCGCCGTAGCGCCCGCTGCGCCGTGGTGCCAACGTCGAGGCCTGCAAGACGAGCGACTGGGCAGGCTCGTGACGCCAAACTTCAGTCGTCACTTGGGCCTGAAGCCGTCGGTCGGCTGGCACTTTGACCGGCTCCGCGGCAGTGGCGGCGTCGCCAACCCGCTCCCCTTTGACTCGCATCTGCACGCTCCATCTCTTTTCTCCCCTCTCCACTCGCTCCTCTGCTCGCTCCCCACTGCCCCGCTCTCCTCGCCTCGACACAGCAAGACATGGACATTCGCTATCGATCTACTCGTTCCCCCCGCCCCCGCCTCCGCCTCGCCTCGCCTCGCCTCGCCTCGCCTCGCCTCGACAATGCCGACCTTGATCCCCGCCCCGCCCCGCCCCGCCTCGCCCTACATCGTCCCCCAAAAAGGCCCAGATACGAGTCTCGATCGGCTTCCCTCGCGCTTCCTCCATCCATCGTCCCGTATATGCCCATTTGGCCCCTCGCCCTCTCTCTCCGTCGTCGTCGTCGTCGTCGTCGTCGACGTCGTCGTCGTCGTCGAGATCCATGCTCCTTTCTCCCGCCTCCTGCCCCTGCCCCTGCCTCCTCCGACACACCCTCTCTCTCTGCATACGTGGCGCATCGATCCGTCGCACATTCCCTCTCTCGCTCGCTCGCTCGCTCCCACCTCCGCTGCATCTCCATCCCGCTCGCCTCCGCTTTCCACAGCTCGTTGCCGTCGCCCTCCATGTATCCAAGCCCCGCCTCCCCCCCCCCCCCCCCAATGGCCTCGAATCGTCCTCAGATCCCGGCCCTCGAATCTTCCCCAAATCGCCCTCGCCCTCGCCATCGACACTACGCCCAGCTGCCTCCCTGCCTGCCTGCCTGCCTGCCTGCCTGCCTCGTTCGGATGGCAAAGCGCAAGGCGCAAATACGCCAGACTTACCCACGTCCCTGTGCCGTCCCTCGCCGCCTCGGGTCCGATCTGGTCCTGTCGAGTGGCATGGTCCTGCCTGTTCGGATGGAGGGTTGGACAAAGAGAGGGTCAAGAGGCGAGGGGGGATCGGGAGGGAAAGGAGCAGGTGGTGGAATGCTGTGCGTGTAGGGTTGGATTGCAAAGGCCGACAAAGGCCGAGCGGGACCGGGAGCTATGCCGTGATGAACAGTTCGGCTGTGTTGCGATCGAGGGGGGGAAAGAGGGGACGACGTTGGCGACAACGACGGGCACGACGGAAAAAAAGAAGCGGATCGTCAGCTGGCTGTCCCGCCCCGCTTGCAACACGGCCCGGTGCGCTCACTCACGCGTCTGGTTCTTTACAAACTCGCCCACCTCCTGCACCTTGGTGCACCAGTCGCGGAGGCGGTTCTGGAGCGCCTCAATCTGCCGGCGGTCCAGGACGCGCGGCTGGACCCAGACGATGCGCGCCACCTGGGCGTCCTGGTCGATGGTGCCCTTGATGAGGACGAGGCTGAGGGCCTTCATGATGAGGTGCTCGACCTCGTCGACGGGCAGCTTGGTCTCGATGGCGATCGTCTCGAACGCAATGGTGCGGTCGTCCGAGGAGCGCCTAAACACCGACTCGATGAGCGCCATCAGGCAGACCTTTTGGCGCAGGAAGGGCAGATTCTCGGACAGGATGGGCTCCTTGGACAGGTGTGGCGCCAGCGACTCGAACCGCCCAATGTCGCCCGCGTTGAAGGCGAACAGCAGGTCCGACAGCCACGCGTGCTCGCTCGATGCCAGCGATGCGAGGATGGGGTGAAGCAGCTGTCGTTGGGGTGGAGCAAGACATTGGCGATGGGCGCAAATGTGGAGAGGTGTTGGGTTCAGGGTCAGGGTCAGGGTCAGGGTCAGTGTCAGTGTCAGTGTCAGCCTCAGCCAATGCCGATGCCCCCTTCCTGCGGGTGGATGGACCCACCAGCTCTCCAAAGTTGTAGATCGAGTCGCCGAGGAGAGCCGAGATGGCGAGGTCGTGTGCGCGCTGTACGCGGTCTGCGTCTGCGAGGTCGGTGTCGACGTTGACGCAGGCGAGGTAGAGGAGCGAGTTTTTGTAGTAGTTTGCGTACTCGGCCTTGGCCTTGTAAAAGTCGCCCGAGACGCGGTAGAAGCTGGCGTGGACGGCCGTCTCTACGGCGTCGAATGTGTCGAGGATCTGCGCGCAGCGGTCCATGGCCTGCTTTGTGCCGTCGGTGTCGCCGAGGACGAGGCGGAAGTGGGCGGCCTCCATGCGGGCGTAGACGTAGGCGTCCTGGGCGTCGGGCGAGTCGACGGTGATGACGAGGTCGTCGAGAAAGGCGAGGGCCTTTGCCGGGTCGCTAAATTGGCGCGCGACGCGGACGCCGATGGCGGCGAGCTGGAGCTGGTTGATCTTTGCGCTGAATTTGGTGACAAAGTGGGTGTACAGGTCGATGTGGATGGGGGGCTGCTGCGAGTCGGGGAGGGCGAGAAAGTCTTCGACGGCGAGGGTGAGCTGGTACCACAGCTTCTTTTGGTGGAGCGTCTTGAAGCGGGCATAGTATGGGCGGAGCGAGGCGGGCGTCGACGACGAGCTGCCCGCGGCGTCGAGGTAGGCTTGCGGGTCATCGACGACCTCGGACGTGGACGCGGACATGGTGAGAAGGGGGGGCCAGAGGTGGAGGGGAGAAGGCGGTGACTAGCAAGCGAGTGCTGGTGGCGGTTGATGCTGCCGAGTGCAGAGATGGCGGAGTCAGGGCGTGGTGCGAGGGCGCGGTGCGAGGTGATGGTGGTGAGGGCGGTCGTGGTGGCGGTAGTGAGGTGTTGGGGGCAGGTCACGCCAGGCCAGGCTGGGCCAGGCTGGGCCAGACTGACAGGCGAAGCCAAAGTGGAGTAAGGCCGCGTGCTCTGGCTGGCCTGGCCTGGGCTGGCCTTCCGATCACCCTGGCTGGCTGGCTGGCTGGTGCGGCGACTTTTTCCCTCGCAACTCAGGCGCCGCTCAGCCTGCACCTCTGCAAGCAGCCCTCAGCCAACGCGCGCACGCCCTCCACTCCACAATCACGCAGCCCGAGAGCCGGCCCCTGGCCTTTCTGTCAGTTGCTATGCCTGTTACCTGCTCGGAGCTGCAACGGTAGTCGCCCGCTCGTCGTCGCATCGGGGCTAAGAGGCGACTCTATCTGGACTCTCTGATGTCTCGAGGTGCGGTCCATTCGCTACGAGAGGGACATGCAAGCAGGGGGGGACGCAAGGGCGACCGCTCGCCACCGCTTCCACACATGGCCGAGCAGGGCGCCAACGGTCGGGCAGTCACTTGACTTCCGCTGTCGGCATTAGCGCTGGTCGGCAGATCCGAGGGACGCGCGGATCGTTCCGATGGGCGCTCGGTGGCGGGCTCGACGATGAAGGGAGGGTGCCGCTCTGTCCGGAATGACGGAGGGAGCATCTTTGAAGCCCGCCAGGGACGGCGGGTACGCCATGGCGCTGCATTATGGCTGCCTGCCTAACAGTGGGTGACGATTGCTTTGCGGCTGAGCCGCGCAGTCGTGTCGGGCGTGGATTGCCGTGAAGTCGCAGAGGTGCCGTCGATGCTTTTGACGTCCTAGCCTGTGCTTGCCAATGACCAGAGCCAGAGCAAGGCTCCGGCGACGATCTTACTTTACTGTGCTTGCCCGGTTCCATCGGCTCCCTCGGCGTCGGCGTCTCTGAGGGCCTGCATCCTGGCATTGTTGCGCTTGGCGAGGAGGCGCAGTGACCTCTGCTTTTCCACGTCGGTCATGTCGGTCCACCCGGAGATGCGCGACATCGTCCCGTCGGTATTCACCTGCCGATGAAGAGGGGAGGGGGAGGGGGCGCCAAGGTGCAGCCGTCAGCGTCGGCCCGTTGCTAGCAAGGGACGGGGAGAGCGGGGAGAGCGGACGTAGCTGGAGGCCGGCGCTTACAATGACGGGACCGAGGTGGTCGAGCTTGAAGCTCGTCTGGGGCTCTTCACCCGGCGTCGACGAGGGCGGGGCATCCGAAGGGGCGGGCAGGCCGAGCGGTGCACTCGCTTGGTGGGCAGACGAAGCCGGCACTGGCTGCTCTGGTGTGGCGTTCGATGGCGGCGCAGATGACATGGCGATGACCCTGCTGTTGATCGACCAAGGATCGAGAGGGAGGTAGTGGCGGTGGTGCTGGTGCTGGGTTGGCAGCGACGAAGGGGTTTGGGCAATGGCGGGTGTTGGTTGGACTCGCGGCGGACGAAGCTGCTGGAAGAGGGCGGGCCCAGGTGAGGGGGAGGAAACTCCACATCCACGCCCTGCTTGCTTCGGCCTGCACTTGCTCGCCGTAGTCCGCAGCCCGGGGCCCGGAGCCCGAGTTCCGAGAGAGTGTTGCGCCCTCAGCCCCGGAGGGAAGCGGAAAAAACCGGCCCGCGCCTGCCTCTCGCTCCACCCCCATCCTCGTCGACGGTGGCATGGCCGCCCCCTTTGGTCGTGAGGGTGCGTCTGGTCTGCCTGTGTGATCCTCGGTCCTGGTCGCATGCTCTCACATCACCACGCTGGTATGGGAGGTTCCATGGCAGGTGGTGCAGGCAGAAGCCTTCAGGAAACGCCCAAAGCCAAGGCGAGGCGATCCGATCACGATGGCGCGTGGCGAGGGGTCGCAATCACGAGTCGACGAAGTCGTCCGCCACATTGCTGATATCTACTCTCGACGATCGAGGCGCGCGAGAGGGGAAAGGACGACGGTGCTGAGCCAGGACGCGACGACACGAGGCGTCTCGTTGGGTCGCTCTCGCTCTCGCTCTCGCTCTCGCTCTCGTTGGTACCGGAGGGTACGGAGGGGTGCGTACGCGCGTCTTGGAAGGCGTCAGGAAGACGGTCCGGTCTTTCTCGACACCGCACGACGACGACGACACAGGCTAGGTTGGCGGGTGCAAGGAAGGAAGACCCAGGTTGTCGGCTGCCTCGTCGACGGCAGCAGTTAGCGTCGCACAGGGACGCCGCGCTGGCTGCCTGGCTCGGCCCCGTCCAGCTTACGCCGACCAGACTTGGGGCCTCTCACATGCTCCTTTCGGGCAGCAGAGCCAGGACCGGATTTCCGGGACCAGACCAGACCAGACCAGAACGAAGGTAGACAAGGCTTGGACCGAGGACCGAGGACCGAGGACGCAGCACCGGTAGACCGGGCGTAGCGGGCGAGGTGGGGACGCGGGCTCAAGAAGCCAGGCAGCCTGGGGGAGAGGCGGAACCCGACCGACCCGACCCGACGAGACGACATCGGCAAGATCCGGCAACGTCACGTTGCTCTCCCCCCCGGCACCTCGCCGCTCTCCGCTCTACGAACAGCAGCCGCGCACCGGCAGGCTACAGAGTAGGAGCATGGGGCATGCAGGGTGCGAAGCTGGGATGCACCATTCGATCAGCCCTTCGTTGGCGCCGTCAAGCAAAACGTCGTACTGTATGTCGACGCACACGTCGAGGGATGTCAACACCGCTGGCCCTTACCCTACCCGGGTTTGGACGACGATGGCAGGGGGGCTAGGCTTTCACGGTCACCTCACCGACCCCCCCCCCCCCCCGCCTTTCACCTTGCTTGCTTGCTTCACCCTCCCGCACTCCCGACCTTCCGGTCTCTTGGCCCCTTTCCCGCTCCCTCGGAAACATCCGCTCCGTCCGCTCCGTCACTTCGTGCTCGTCAGGCCTACCCTGCCCTGCCCCTGCTCCATCCGCTCGCTCGCCCCCTCGCCCGGTCTCATACCGGTAGCACACGTCCGCTCCATCCGCGCTCCTGCTGCCCGCCTGGACCCTCTTAGCGGTCGAGTGGATCGCGCAGCAGGGCGGGCCGAACATGCCGCCTCTCGCACTCACGCCATGCACGCACGCCGATCAGACAGCCACGAGGGATGGGTTTAGGGGTTTCGTCTCTTTTTCTTCATTCAATCGTCGAGCCGCTAGAACCGACCGACGTCGATGCAGGAGAGTAACATGGCCAATCAGCTAAGGGGCGGGGGCGGGGGGTCGGGGCGAGGGAATCCGTTCAAGTGCTCGTCAAAGCCTGGATCCTCCTCTGTTGTGTCCAGCGGCGTAAGAGAGAGAGAGGAGAGAGACACAGGGAAGGGAGCGCGGGTCAGCCACGTCTGTTCCCTGTCTGGCCGGCGTGGTGGCCTGCCAAGACAGCGAGCGAGCGCCGGGCGGACAGGTCCTCCTTACCTACGCGGAGCCGTCCTTCTGGGCCATGAAGCAGAGGAGGTCGAGGCACCTGTTCGAGTAGCCCCACTCGTTGTCGTACCACGACACGAGCTTGACAAAGTTGTCGTTGAGCGCGATGCCGGCGGCGGCGTCAAAGATCGACGAGGCCGGGTGGCCGACAAAGTCCTGCGACACGACGGCGTCCTCGGTGTAGGCGAGGATGCCCTTGAGCTCGTTCTCCGACGCGCGCTTGATCTCCTTCTTGATCTCGTCGTAGCTGGCGCCCTTGTCGAGGCGGCAGGTGAGGTCGACGACCGAGACGTTGGTCGTGGGGACGCGGAACGCCATGCCGGTCAGCTTGCCGTTGAGGCTGGGGATGACCTTGCCGACGGCCTTGGCGGCGCCGGTGCTCGAGGGGATAATGTTGGCGCTGGCGGCGCGGCCTCCGCGCCAGTCCTTGGCCGAGGGGCCGTCGACCGTCTTCTGGGTGGCCGTGGTGGCGTGGACCGTCGTCATCAGGCCCTCGACGATGCCAAACTTGTCGTTGATGACCTTGGCGAGCGGGGCGAGGCAGTTGGTGGTGCACGAGGCGTTGGACACGACCTCGGCCTTGGGGTCGTACGAGTCGAGGTTGACGCCGCACACGTACATGGGCGCGTCGGCCGAGGGCGCAGAGATGACGACCTTCTTGGCGCCGCCCTTGATGTGGGCCGAGGCCTTGTCAATGGTGGTGAAGACACCCGTCGACTCGACGACGTAGTGGGCGCCGACCTTGCCCCAGGGGATGGCAGTGGGGTCGCGCTCGGCAAAGACGGAAATCGACTTGCCGTTGACAATCAGCTTGCCGTCCTTGTGCGAGACCTCGCCCTTGAAGACGCCGTGGGTCGAGTCGTCTGCAGGCAGGCAAGTGGGCGGATTCGCCGTAAGGAAATAGGGTCGGGTCGGATCGGGTGGGGTCGTCAGTCGCCACTCGTTCGATCGCAGGGCAGGCGCCGCTTCAATCCTGGGCCCGAGGACACCACACTTACACTTGAGCATGTAGACCATGTACTCGAGGTCAATGAAGGGGTCGTTGATGGCAACGACGTTGGCCGTGTTGTGGACGACCGAGTTGCGGAAGACGATGCGTCCGATACGGCCGAAGCTGCGCGGGGGTTCGAAGAGGGAGGAGAGGCGTGGCGGCGGTCAGAATTGAGTGTGCCTGCGGCGATAACTGTTGCCCCATCGCCGGGGGACCGAAAAGTGGCGATGGCTGCGTCTCTGCCGCCGCCGTCAACATCGCTGCGGCGATCCGCGCCGTGTGGCAGAAAGCGCACCAGGTCGGGGCCAGCAGTCCAGTCGAACGGTGTCGGCGGCGAAGCGAATCGGCGAATCCTCGACTCGATCCCACCTCTGCTCGGCGGACAGATCTGCAAGCTTGCCCGCCTGCCCGCCTGCCCGAGTACAGACGTAGCTGCGCATGGCGATCGCCTAAGGGTGGCTCGACGACGACGACGATGGCGGCGAGACGACCAGGGACATGAGGCGGGACACTCACCCGTTGATTCCGATGGCGACCTGGGACATGTTTGGCAGAGTGTGGTGCGGATGTGCGGGGGATTGGAGGATGGATGTGGATGGATGGTGGTGGAGGAGAGGAGGAAGAGAAGGGGAGGGCGGCCGAGGTCCTTTTGTGGGCTGGTTGGGGGGGTGCGGCGTGGCCTGCGAAAATCCAGGGCGAGCCGGCCAGCCAGCAGAGAGAGGCTGGCAGCGAGAGGCCGAGGGGCCGATGGGCGGCGGCGCAGGCGGACGGGGCGGGGCCAGGCCAGGCCAGGGAGCGAGCGAGACCAGGTGGAGCGGGCACGGGCACGGGCACAGGCTCGAGCGGCCGATGATGATCGATCAAGCAAGAAGGCGGCCGGGCCTGACCTGGGTTGCGGCAAAGGGAGCGCAGCTTGCTTGCTTGCGCTTGCTTGCTTCTTGCTCGCCTGCCTGGGCCTGCGGCGTGCGGTCGAGCCAGGGCCAGGGCCAGGCAAAGTGGAGGACAAGCCAGGCAGGCCAAGGGCGATCGGCGCTGCCGGTTTGTTGGGCCCAGCCTGCCCTTCGTCCTGCTTCCACGGCTGCCTTGCCCAGCCTGCTTTTTTTCCTCTTCCTGCCTGCCTGCCTGCCTGCCTGCCTGCCTGCCTGCCTGCCTGCCTGTCGTTGACGCAACGCCCACGCACGGCCCAGCCAGCCAGCCTTGGCCTTTGGCTGGCCTGGGTCCATCCCCTCGATGGCTGGCTGCAACCCTCGTCATGCCCCTGCCTGTGCTCCGCCCGGCCAGACGAGACGAGCTTCGGGCGGGCCTCCCGACTGCCAGGGCGTGACCTCGGAGTCGTGTTTCGCCCTTTCGTCGTCGTCGTCGTCGTCGTTCGTCGTCGTCGCCATACCAGGCGCTGAGAGCATGGCATGGTGCGAGTGTGGCACCGCTCTGCTGCGTCCACCTGTAGAAAGCAATGGCGCGTTCCACCGACCGGTCAATCTCGCCGAAGACGACCCACCAACAGAGTAGCGCAGCCAGCCGTACGTCAAGGGAGGACCGACCTTGACGCCAGCGACGACAGCGAGCAGAGGTCGGCCCTGTCTCGGAGAGATTCCGGTGCATTCCCTGCGCTGCGCTGGCCCGCTGATCTTCTCTATCTGGCTCCGGCTCTGGCTCTGGCTCATGCGAGCCGGCCGCGCCGTCGAGCAGGCTAGAGCCCGACGTTGGTATCAGCTCCAGCTGATCTTGATCTCCCCTCGCTCGCTCGCTCGCTCGGGGCTTGGAGGGCATGACTCGGCGGGCAGAACAGGCTAGGCCAGCGTGGCGCGGGCGGGTCAGGCTGGGGAGGTGGGTGCGTGCGTGCGTGCGTGCGTGCACCGACTCCCGAAGGCCAGGCGGCCAGGCAGGCGGGCAGGCACCGCGTATCGATCTAGTTAGATCTGATCCGCCTCCGCGCTGGCCGGACTCGTACGGCTCGGCACCGACGACGACGACGACGAGGGCAAGGGGGACACGCCATCTCGCCGCAGCACCGCCAACCCACGGGATTCGCTCCGCGACTTTGAACCCGGCCTCTCTTTCTCCCTCCATGACGCCTCGCACCATCTCCGTTTGGCCTCGACGCCAACCTCGACATCTGCGCAGCCAACCACACAGAGACGTCAAAGAGAGGTCAGGCGGGCGGGTGCAGGGGGTAGCCCACTCTCTGTGTGTCTGAATCAGGTGTTGCTACATGATTACGCTGCTTTGCTGGTGTAGGATCCTCTAGAGTAAAAGGTCGAGGGAGCAAGGGGGTCGGATGCGATATGCTGATGAGCGGGGAGGGGGCAAGTGAGGGAGACGGTCGGGGGCTGAGTTGCAAGAAAGACGGATCGAGGGGGATAGCGACGACGACGACGACGACGACGACGACGACAACGGAGCTAGGCCCATCGCCCCGGGTAGCCAGGACGAGCCGACTACGAGAAAAAGTAGAGCGACTTCTGGATCTCGTTGACGTCAAAGTTGCCCTTTTCGGGCAGCGGCGGCAGGATGTCTTCGAGGTCGACAAACTTGGCCTTGAACCGCTCCTCCCACGTCGTCGTAGCGGCGCCGGCCGCCTTCTTGGGACGGCCCACCGCGCCCTTGCCCTTGGCCTTCGAACCCTTGGCGCCCTTGGTCGTCGTCGTCGCCGCCCCCTCGTCGTCGCCGCCGGAGGTAGCGGAGCCCGTGGCAGAGACGTCGCCCTCGTCGACGCTCATGCTCTCGGCAAAGTCGGCGTCCTCGGGCGCCGAGCCCAGCAGGCCCGCCTCGTCGGCGATGCCCTCGACGTCGGCCTCGCCCTCGCCCTCGGAATCGAGGTGGTCGTCGCCCTCGTCGTCATCGACGCCGCGGCTGCTGCGGCCGCTGCTCGGCGAGCGGTCGACGTACT